AACTAAAGTCTAAACTCAGAAATTAGGACGCGCTCCCTGCTGTGAGGTAGCATTACATCTTTTCCCCAATAATAGAGGTACAAAATGCAAATGCAGTGGTTCACAGGTGAGGGCAAACAGCTCTCTGGCATAAGGGGTCACAGACCTGGAGACGGCACGTGGTGCAGCTCAGCACCGAGTGTGCTGGTTTTGGCTGGGGTAAAGTTAATTTTCTTCACAGTAGCTAGTGTGGGGCTATGTTTTGGATTTGTGCTGGAAACAGTGTTGATGATAACACAGGGATGTTTTCATTACTGCTGAGCAGTGCTGACACAGAGTCAAGGCCTTTCTGCTTCTCACCCCACCCCACCAGCGAGGAGGCTGGGGGGGCACAAGAAGTTGGGAGGGGACACGGCCAGGACAGCTGCCCCCAACTGACCAAAGGGATATTCCATACCATATGACGTCATGCTCAGCATATAAAGCTGGGGGAAGAAGAAGGAAGCGGGGGACGTTCGGAGTGATGGCGTTTGTCTTCCCAAGTGACCGTTAAGCATGATGGAGCCCTGCTTTGCTGGAGATGGCTGAACACCTGCCTGCTGATGGGAAGTAGTGAATTAATTCCTTGTTTTGCTTTGCTTGCGTGTGTGCCTTTTGCTTTACCTTTTAAACTGTCTTTATCTCAACCCAGGAGTTTTCTCACTTTTACCCTTCTGATTCTCTCCCCCATCCCACCGGGGGGGAGCGAGTGAGCAGCTGTGTGGCGCTTAGTTGCCAGCTGGGGTTAAATCATGACACCAAGATACAGGTCTAGCTGGAGGGAGAAGAGGAGGTGGACACTTGTGTGCAAGTCATATAATACTGGACTTGACAGATATTAAGAGGGACAGGCAGAAAGTTCAGGGAAGAGGTGCGTAGTTTAGGATAGTTGTTTGAAATCAAAGCTTGAGGTGACATGGTGTGGGAGTTCCACTGGAAAGAGAAAAATAAGGAAGAAGGCAGGAAGAAAACACCACCCAAAGACATTCCTCTTTCTTTGATTTTGCTCTAGGACTGATCTTTTCTCAGTCCCTGCCTACACAAATGTGCTATGAACTTGACAGACTGTCAGCCAAGTATTGTAAAGCAAGCTATTCTGCCACTGATACAGCCGTCACTGTGTTAAGTCCTTGATATGGTGGATGTGAGGTAGCTTCCTAAATGTTAAGCCTTTGAGTACACCCACTGTTTCTAGAAAACTGAGCTAATTCAGTCAGAGCTGAGGGTTTGTTCAGTTAATAAAGTGTTTTCATACCTTCAAACATCTCATATGTTAACAGTTTAATTAAACATGCATGTGCACACATGCACATATCCTTGTGCACATACCCTTCTCCTAGGTATTACCTGAGATGCTCCACAAAGAAAGGAAATCAGAGCCCCAGGGGCCTAAATTTCTTTTCAGATTCCCAGAATACAGACAGCACATTTAGAGGTAGCCCAAGCTTCCTGCTCACCCCCCTCCTTTCATGCTAGCTTGTCTTGGTCTGTGCTTCTAGGGATGAGGCGGTGGTAAAGTCTGCAATCTTTTGCTAAGAGTGTGGATGGCTTTCCTAATTAATGCCAACTGTCACATTCACTCTAGTTATGTGGGTGTCTCTCCAACCGGCATGGAGAAGTCACAAGAGACTTGCAATTACTGGTCATAATTTATAAGTTTCATTTGTCAGCATCATGAGAAAGCCAGCTATTCCTTTGAAGAACAGACATCTGTTCTGATGTTCACAAACCTCCTGAAAACGTATCTGATGGCAGAGATGTACAAAAATGCAGTTCAGGGCAATTTAGTTTTAGTTTTCAAAGACATGCTTGCAGCTAAGCTGTAGTATGACAGTGAGAACTGATAAGGCTGTTCCAGACAGCAGGAGGCGGAGATGAGTAAACTCCTTTGCCAACTGCCAGATTGCATGTCTGACACATTGCAGATGTAAATCCAAGTAACTCAATGGGGAGACTACACTGAATCACACCCGCTGGGGATGTGCCTATGTCTTCCGGGCAAGAGGTAGCAGGAAAAGAAGAGACAAATTCCTTGATATAAACTGGAACAATTTTATGCAAGCCAGGAGCCTCCTTTGGTTTCTCTCTGAGGCAGCCCAGAGTGCGTGCCATGCTTGTCCCTTTGCCCAGGCACATGATTTTTTTTTCTTCTTTTTTCCCCACCTCAAAACTGTGAAAGCCAAAGTTGCTATGTAGCAACACGCATCTTTGCTGGTGAGTAACGTTACAAATGCAAAAGGAAAGAGGAACCTTTTTATTGCTTCTCTGTGAAACATGATAGTGTTTAGAACCTGAAGAAAAGGATCTGGGGTTTTGGTGCTACCAGCTGAGATATCCTACTAATGCATTCCATCTCCTCAGAAAAAAATAAAGAACAAAACCCAAAACTAGAGGAAGCTCAGAAATGGATTAGATTCCTTGCAGGAAGGGGAACCTTTATAGCTCTGTCAAGATCAGATATACTTCTGGGAGATGCCCTTACATCAAGCATTCACCGCTGGGCTCAGTCCAGAGGTATTAATAAGTAGGCTGGATTAGGTCATGTAATGTTTCCTGCTGGCTTACGAATGCAGCATTGTCATCAATACATGTGCATTTGTATACTAACCTCTGAAGGAAGATCTGAAGTGTGGTTCATAACCATAATTACACATTATGATACCCTTGCAACACAGAGAGAACATAGTGTTTCAGGCATCCAAAAGCCTAGGCCGAATGAAGAAACAAAACCCGAGTGTTTTGATTTTTGTTCTGTTGCTCTGACCCCAAATCAAACTCCCTCCAGTTACTTCTGAGCATAAAAAACACAGATGAGAACATTCTGCAGTGAGTCTAGCAAAACACCCTAGGGTTATTTGCACTTGTAGCTCATCTTCAAGTTTAGGAACGGAAAGTCTTTAAATCTTAGAACGTTTCAAGACATCCATAGTGTTCAGCACCACTAGGTCCCTAGGCTCTGTAATACGGCAGAAGTTCACCTCAAAATGAATATCAAATAACAGGGCTATTTAAGGCTTTCGGTGAAAAAATGTCTTTCTACTATTTAAAAACACTTAATACTCAGCTAAGAACAAATTGTTACCCATATCTTGTCATTTCAAGAACTCAGATGGTTATTTTTGAGCATGTTCCACATCTTGCCAAACTTACAGCTTTAGGCTATTGAGAAAGTTCAGGATGAAAAATTGAAAGTGTAATTAAAAAGCATACAAAAGGAGGAAAAGAGAGGAAAAAATGATGGTGTCTGCAACATGCATAGCACTGGATTGTAATTTTTTTTGATTTATCAGCTGGAGCTGTACTAAAGAGTTATGAGTACTGCAGTTCTTGTGTGGTCAACCGTCAGGACCACAATGGCACTGCAGCAGCTGCAAGAGCACAAGCAGGGCTGCTGGACACCATCCTTGCATCCTCTCCCTTGAGGAGTTAAAGTCACAACTTTGGTCCTGGACAAGTGGAGGAGGAGCTGTCTGTCAGGAATCGTCTTAGCCGGTCTGCCAGTTGGTAGATAGCTTTAGCCCTGAAGCAGGACAGTTTACATACTGTCATTATACACAAGATTATCACTACTTTTTTTTTTTCTTAAAGGAGAAATGGGTTTGGATCCTTAAGAAGTGTCCCTAGCTTTATAGAGGCACCACATACAAGAGGTATCTCAAGATGCACTCACAGTGTACCTTTCTGCACGTGCATGACCAAGTACGTCACAGAAATGTCTAAAAGTAAACACATGCAGACCTGCTCTAATAGTGTGGCCTTCAACCTTAAAAAATTATTTTGGAAATAATCACTGTGTGATTATATCTTTATAACATGTCAAGTGTGGTGTGGGATACAGAAGCCAGCAACAATGAAAGTATTTGTAAGACATTAGTTCTCCCTCTTTATAAGCAGTTACACCTGCATTTTGTTTCCTTTTGTGCTCTACCCTGGATGCTGATATTAAGATTTCATTCTTTTAAAAGTGATTAGCAATACAAGCAGTTCTTGGCTGGTAAATTCTGATGATAACAAAAGACATAATTCACAGGTTTTAAAAATAAACTGGCTGTAAGGCATCTGATTACTGGACCTATAAACATTCAGTGTTATAGTAACTTTGCTGGAATCAGGCGGGTTTTTGATAAATCTCATTAGGCAATGTATTTTTAACACAATAGGAACTCCCATTGCAAGCTCCCCTTAAGGCTTTCCATGGGATTTCTTCTAACCTACTAAAAAATTTAAGAGTTGCTAATAATCAAAGAATCACCAGGACCATACAGATATTACAAATAACCAGATGAGACTTTGAAGACATTCAGAAGCCTGCCCTTAATGGCATTCATCTCTCTGGCTAAGCAAATGTAAAATCCCAACCCCAAGAGAGGGTCGAGTAGAAGGCAGCCATCCTGAGTAGCCACTGGAGATTTGCTACCACAGAGACACAAACTGATCATACCCTCTGGCTTCTTGTTACTGCTACATTAAATCAGGGCAAAAAACTTCTTCCTTGTATCAGGAGGGGAAAATTAGTTTTGCCCCAGAAACTGTACTACCAAACAGCTTAAGCATATTCAGGGCTGTGGGACTCAGAAGAGGGTACACTCCTCCTCTCCAGAAACATCATAGGAGTCTGGAGCAATCTGGATGCTTTCTATCTTTAGTACACAGTTAAAAACTGTAAATGAATAAACACATCCGTTTACCAACAGCTAAATACAGCTTTTGCGGTTTCCAAGTGGTACTTTCCATTGTAGAATCTTTCAGACCCTTTGTACGCATGAATTTACACAGTGGAAACTCCCCTGCAGAGCTCTGACCCTCTTGCATCAGAGGACAGGCACTGCACAGTAGCATCCAAGAAGGTAGAAGGTTTTTCACTCTATTCTGTGTTGCTACTATTCTTTTTATTTTTTTTTCCTCCTCAGTCGCAATGCGGCCTGTATCTGCTGTATAATCAATAAGAGTTAATAAGGAAGGATTTGGAATTGCAGCACTTACTCGGGGTGTTCAGGAGACGTGACTTTTTGCAGTGGTAGGCTGCCTCCTGTTCGCAGTACTCTGCACTGTTTATCATGGCTTCAAGCTGCTCCGCACTGCTGTTGTAGTTAAAGGACATGGTGTACGGCTTCTCGGGATCAGCTCCTTGCACTCTGGTTAGCCCTGTGGTGTTGTGCTGCACTGCAGTCCAGATCTTATCTTCTGTTAAATGAAAAAGGATTGAACAGGAAGTTAACAGCAAAAAACTTGCAACAAGCAGGGAACAAAAAAACCAATTGAAATCTAATGCTTTACTGCATTGGAAAGAGGATCAGCAGGACCCCGGGCTCCGAAACGGTCACTCTGTGGTGAAGACCTGTTACAGGTCAGTGTAGCCCACAGAGCTGTTTCTTCCTGAACCAGCTTGAGCAAACACTACAGAGCCTGCTGAGCAAGAGGGAAACTACAAGCTCCCTGGGAACCACGGGAGATCTTCGGCATCTTCTATAGCCAGGTATCTGAAGAAAGTAAGATACCTTTCAGCTGGCTTTGGCCCTGAGAGAAAAGACATAACAACATGGCTCAGGGCGGTAACACTCATCTTTTGCAAACATAGCTGTACCTAAGAGCACAGCCCATGCTGTTACAACAACAAATGCTAGTGGAGAACTGTGGCTGATGAGCTCGCACAAACTCACTACAAACAGAAACCACAAACTCTTACCAGAAAGCTAAAACTGAGAGTATGTTCTTACCACCCAGCTGGAAGTCAGATCACTCATTTTACTCAGTTCTCAGATTTTTCTACATATAAGCTGAGTGATGCCCTGCTTGGACGTACAGAACAATATATGACTTGGCATCTGTAGTTAACTGTAAATGTTGATGTTTTTCCATGCTGGGGAGCCCATTCTAATCTCCATTATTGCATTTACTGGCAGAGCAAGGGATTGCTTAGGTGACAGAAAGCAGAATCTAGGTTTAAGTACAACCTGCACCATAACAACCCAGCTCATGACCAGCATTGAGGCTGGCATGATAAGGAGAACATCGCAATTAGAAGCAATTAGCTTAGCAGGGAGACTGTTTCCCGGCTGATTCTGGTGAGATAGCAACAGGCAAGAAAAGAAGGACCGCCTGAACAGCCAATCTGCTGAGCTGACCCAGAGGAAAAAGCAAACTCTTTAATAAGGATTCACAGGACTGAGCCCTGCATGTGCTCCACCATGTTATTAAGCATCACATCCAGTAAATTCCCTTTTTATCAAAGACCCTGCTTGCCCAGGGACGATACAAGATACTGACAGGGCAAAAATTTAAGGAAGTAAATTTTAATCATTTGGTGAGAGGAAGATTTCAATCTCACTTGCAGAAACCTATGGACAGTTACGGAGGAAGAGGCAAGATCTAGACAAGAGACTTCTATTCTGTTATTCATGCTTCAACAGGGAAACCCCGCATAACGCTGAACCAGATTCTTTTCTAAACCAATCTTAAAACCTGTGCATTTAAGTATTCAGATGGTTTTACTAGATTACCTGGTCTGAGTTCTTGCAGAGCACGAGCTTTCCAGTTACTCCCTGATACACTGGCATGATAAGCCCAGTAGCTTTGTGGCCACTGAAATGCATTGCAGTTGAAGCATTTTTCGTTGAGCTACAAAGATCCCATAGATTACTTCAATAGAACTCTAATAGGTGTATCAAAATTCTAAATGGACTATCTGTGCAAAGACACTCAGATGATTTAATGGATTGTCATTATGGAGGCATTCAGATGACAGGCAAGTAACAACAACCATCTGGAGACTATTTAAAGAGGTCTGTTCTAAGACCTGGCTGCAAGTTACGGAGAAATTACTCTCCCAGTAATGTATGGCATTAACTGTAAGAACAGTTTACGCTCAGCAAATCATACATTCACTCACAACACTCTCAACATTTCTGTGATGGTAGACAGAAAGAGTTTGCTCATAGATCCGTAATTCTGTGGTCCTTGTTGAGTTCAGGATGCTGCTTGTGGGTCCTTTGAGTTGGAGCTCAATGAAACACTGCTGCGATGTGTGATACATGAAAGTTAGATTAAAATCACAAGAAATATTACAAATTTATTGCTTGTAAAACGTGCCCCAGTAGTTGTAATCACAGTTAACACTGTGGCATAATACCCTGCACAGTCCTGCACAATATATTGCTTCCAACACAATATAATTCAATGACTGCATAACACACATCTTGTACATCTGAAAGTAGTGATTCTTATCAGCCAGAGTCTCTGGTTTTTTCTTTTGTTGTCTCAAGGATTGACATGAACAGAGTTGATTTTTCAGAAGCAGTTGAGGGTGAGCTAACTTTCCTCTCACTGAAGTCGGTAGAAGTTTAACCCCTGCCTTCACTGAAAAATCTACTAAAAAAACAAACATCAAGTTGCTGATGCTGTAAGTGAGATGTAAAACCAAGAGATGATGGAACAAACTGGTTGCTGAAATTCCAGATGGGCAGTCATAAGCTCCTTCCCACTGAGAGTTATTAACATAGTTTTGAGAAACTGCAATAAAATCAGTGCTCACAGTAGTGGCTACAGTGCTGCTCAGGAAGTACAACAGCCTAACGCCAAAGTTTCAGAGTGGTTAACATTACTGTGCTTTCCAGGCTGTGAACTTGTACACCAGAAAAGGTGCTGTGTGGGTACTTGAAAAGCCAAAAGCACCAAGATCTAGTAATTTAGATGCAACAAAGGATTACTAGGAAAAAATTATTAAAAGTAGCATAGCATAAAACAGTCTTCCCAAGAAGTGTTGGAAATGTAATTAATTGTCATGTTTGAAGTGAGGTTGGACAAGACATCAGCAAACATACTGTTAGGGACAAGCACTCATTAACAAGTGTGTTGGACAGACAATGCAACAGGTCTTTCTCTTATTCTTCTCTGCGATTGTTCATTAATTTTCAATGGTCTTGTTATCATTACAGCTGCACTCAGCTGTCCCTCTGAGAGCTGAACTTTGACATTCAAGAACTGCTTTTCTCCACAGGATCTTTTAGAAAGGAGAACCTAACTGCAGATTTTCCATCCCCTAGTTTGCAAAGGAAAAACAAACCAAGTTTCTTTCTGTGCTCAAAGTAATTGTGATTTAGCAAGTACATCGGAACAGAGAGTTTAAAAAAGTAATAGCGGAAGGGAAGAATTCTGGAGTTACATTTCAGACATTTCCTAATCTACACATGCCTGATCTGTTACACTTATAACTTTTACAGATCAGATCTGTGCTTTGCTGGTCACTTCAGAGATTCCCTCTATGTTCCATCTTTGAAGTAAAGGTAACCATCAGTACAGCATCTCAAAAAATATATACCTTTGGCTCACTGATCTAGTGAAAGGAAAGTCACAGCCACCAGCAAGCATACCTCTGGGACAGCAAAAGCTACCGCCATTCAAAAGTTTGTTTCTTTTCCCTATGCACAGTTGGTGTAGAAAGAGGACAGAGAAACACATCCTCTGCTACTTTTTTTATTTTTACACTCTCTCACACCCCCCCCCCCCAACACACCACAAA